TAACAATTGGTATCTTGTTTGTAAGAGGACGATGGCGTTTAGTAAATCAAAATAATCATGCCTAGTTTCTAACTTGGGTTGATCAGGCATGCTAATTGTTCCATCATCATTAAACAATAAGTTTGTAATGTTAATGTAATAGGGACCCTGATTGGTGCACACCCGGATCCAACACCCGGGTGTGCACCCCCATATAAAAAAAAAAATTGGACTGGGTGGGTGATGGGCATTTTTTTTTTTCAAAGGGGAGTGTGCACACCCGGGTGTTGACCCGGGTGTGCACATATCATTTTCCTAATGTAATATTGAACATAAAATGATAATATTAAAAATTTTATTTGTTTATCATATATAACCTAGAACTCAACGAATATTCATGGATGTATTCATTAGGAAAATAATTTTAAGATATTGGTGAAAACTAAAATAAGTACATATCAAAGTTTTTAACAACTTTCTTGCTTTTTCTTTGTTTTTTTGTTATGTTTTATATGTAATCTTCTGTCTTTGGTGTTGGTTCTCCACATGACGCAAAGATACCGTTCATTGTTAAAAACTTAAAATATCAAAGAAGAGGATCATAATATATCGTTCATGGTTTGCACGGGTTTTTAAATTCCTAGAAGATGGGCCTTTGGATATCTCTCTTCCTGCGCTTCCTCGGTGAAAATAAGAACAAAACCATTAGACGGTGTACTGGCGTGATTATACAATTGGGTCAGCAAGCGTTAGCATAGAACATAATAATTTGCAAATATTAAGTTTTCAATTTTCACACACCAGCTGTAGTTATAGTGTAAAATATTATGTTTGGTGTTTATTCTATCAATCATTTGGATGGTGTATATCAACAGATTATGGTTTCGAGGGTCATCCATTATGAAAGGACCTTCTTGTGAGTGGATATGTGGAAGTACACTATGATGATCCAGAGAAATGTGTGGTTTCTGAACCCATTGAGATGACCTAAGAATTTCATATTTCGATTTTGCTAGTCCTTGGGAACAATGTAGCGATAAATCAGAATAAGTCCAATCCGAGGGGCAAATCAATAGGAAATGCAAAATGCTGTTTGCTTGAAAAAGTTTCATGGGAATTGTCTTAATCATTGGACATCATTGAGAAATAAGAAGAGCCTTACCTCTTAGATGCTTACTGTTGATTATTTATTTATTTATTTTGCATTATAGAAAGAGATCTCATTATTTTACTTTTTATAATTGAATGTCATATAATTAAAAAAAAAAAGAGAAGAAATTATCACATAATTATTGAAACAATTTGAGCTGAAACTCAACATTATCTTAACAAGTCTTTGGATTAAGATTTATGAACCCTCGAAAACTAGTAGTGATTGATCTCCTTATTTATATATTAAACTCACCTACAATTCCCCATGTCATAAATCAAGCTCAAGAACAATAAAAGTTAGGTCCATTGGGTTATAAGTATAGAATTTATCTCAAGTGATATAAGGTTTACACTATTACCAATTATAATGATTAGTATGGGCTCACACTATTTTGATATCAACTAAAATGACTTAAACTAAGACTCATCATTATCTTAACAAACCTTTCAGGTAAGAGCCACGAATTCTCAAAAACTTAAGTTTAAGTTGTTAATAGTAGTTGGTCTCTATATTTATATACTAGTTTCACACACAATTCCTCACCAATGTGAGACAATTTCCTCTACTTAAATGCTTGATGTCCTCATCAAGTTCACATATAATCAGAACTAGGTCAATTGAGTTGTAAGCACAGATATGCACTCTAATACCAATTTAAATGACCCATATCAAAACTCATCACTGATCTAACAACCCTTTGAATCAAGGTTCACAAGTTCTCAAAAACTTAAAGTTAAGTTATTAGTAATGATAGATTTTTACACTTATATACCAGATTTAGTTACAATTTACCACTAATGTAGGATTTGGGGTGTTATCATTATCAAATGAGAATATCCAAAATGTTTAAACAATTTAACAATAGCCATTACAGCATTAGTCTAACAGCAATACTCCCTCCATCTTAAACAATTATTTTGAATTTATCTTAAATTTAATTTTTAATTTTTTAATTTAATGATGAGGAGGGAGATAAACTTGCATGTCCATATCTAACAAACAATCTTTGAATAGTTACCAAAACATCATATTTATAGTGCCATATTTGGGACTCATCTTCTATAGATGAGTAATCATTCAAGAATTATCTTGCAATCGAAATAGTGCCATATTTGGGAAAACAGCATGCTTAAATTACCGATTCCCATTTCAACTAGGATTCAGCCATTCAGAGATA